TCTTAGGATTGGAGGGGGTGGGGTGGGAGGGAGTGGGAAGGGACTGGGAGGAGGGTAGGGAGTGGGAGTTTGGATTGGTATTTTTTTTAAGTAACAACAACAACAAAAAAAGAATCCTTGACTTTAAGGTTTTGGAAGTAGGGGATCACAACTGTAATTCAGCATTTAAAAAGCTGAGGCAGGAGTTCCAGGCCAGCCTGGAACCATAAAATTTTTTAAAATATTACACAGCACTTTACATTACACGCCACTGATAGGCTATTCACTCAATATATACTTTCCAGGGTTATATATCATGTTCATAGGACTGTTACTCATTGTATAAATTAACAAAAAACTTGTCTGGAATCACTTCTTTCATTGTTGGGGATTTTTTTGTTTGTTTTTCGAGGCAGGGTTTCTCTGTGTAACAGCCCTGGCTGTCCTGAAACTTACTTTGTAGACCAGGCTGGCCTCTAATTCATAGAGGTCCGCCTGCCTCTGCCTCCCAAGTGCTGGACTGAAGGCATGCACCAATACCACCTGGCTGAGCACAAGTTTTTAAAACATTCTGTGATTAGGTTGGAGACATGTCTCAACCAGTAGAGTAGTTGCCTATCACACACAAAGTCCTGGGTTCCATCTCCAGCACTGTATGAATGAGTCTTGGTAGCACCTGGAACCAGCAGTTGTCTAGAAGAGGCAGGAAGTTCAGAGACTCAAGGTCAGCCTTGGCTACACTGTGAGTTCCAAGCCAGCTTGGTCTACCTGAGACCCTGTCACAGCCAAGCTTAGCTAACACTGATGGTTTAGCTGGGTGTGGTCACACTCCTCCAGACGAGAGGAGAGTTCCAGGCCAGCCTGGCTCCTAGCCACAAAACAAAACCCACGAACACAATGAGGTCGGGGAGAGCACCTAGACTTCATCTCTGTGTAAGTGAAGGGAAGTCTCCACGACTGTGCTGTACTGTCAGCTCTTAGGACTATTTCTCACACTCCAGGGTTCAAAAACACCCCCAACATAGCAACTCTGTGGTTTCTTCTCTATACAGGGTGCTGGGCTGATGACACCACGAAGTCCCGTTTACAAGGTGCTGAGGATGAAACTCAGGACTTCCTGCAGGCTAAGGACCCCTGAGCTGTGTTCCCAGCCCTCTCCTGAAACGTTTAAAAAGGCTGCCCGATTCTTTAATTAGTTTTCAAACACTATTATTTTTGTTGTTGTTGACGTCTAAACCAAACAGAGTGTTTTCTGAGGCACATCAAGGGCTGAACAACAGACAAAACTCTTCTAGTGACATTTTGGGACAGCGCTGCAATTGTGCAGATTAACAATTGCCTAATTTCTAGGAGCCACTAAAAATAGAGCGTGGGTAATTGGGCCGAATGAGTGGGTGAGTCGATTAACAGGGCCATGAACTCTAAGATGCTCTGCTGTCCTTCTGTCCTATAAAGTGAGCAGAGCTCTCTCTTCTTTCTCAACTGTCAACTGGAGTGGGACAAAAGCACCTCACAGGAATTAAGATGCATTGCCTGATTTTTAATTTTTTTCTTTTATTCCTGCTTTAAAGTTTTTAAAAATTGAACTGAGTTTTAGACAGTCTCAAACTTGATATGTACTATGTAGCCGAGGTTGGTCTTGAACCCCTGATCCTGACTCAGTCTTCCCAATGTTGGGACTGTAGGTGTTGTCTCACCACACTTGGCTGCTCACTTTTATTAGTGGTAAACATATGCTATTTATGCTTCCTCTCCTGTGCTCCAGATTCATGGCAAACTGTCTGCCATGATAACCCACAACACAGGCAACTTCTGTGCACAACAGCATTTTTGACAAGCGAGAAATATTCCATCACTTGCCCAGCAGTAGCTGTCAGGTAACTCACACCTGGCTCAGCATTCTCAAGATAAACAGTTGAGAGGTGAGCAGGGGTGGCCGAGGACATAAAAGGGTAATGGGAGGTGAATTATGATCAAGACACACCATATACATAGATGGAAATGTCATAATGAAATCCATTACACATAATTAACATGTGTGGATACAGAGTTTGCAGTGAGGAGAAGGATCCGTGGCTGAAGTGCTTGCCACACAACTATGAAGACACATGTTCAAGTCCCCAGTGCTCACGGAAAGCCAGACAAGATTGTGGGCTTCTGTAATCCCAGCGCTCCTAGACAGGAGGTGGAGGCAGGAGAATGCCCAACTAGTGCGGTGGAGAGCAATGAAGAGATATTAACTCAAGGATAGGCACCCATGTTTGTCCTCTGATGTTCACATAAGCACCATGGCACATGCAGACTTACACACATGCATGTGTCACACACACACATAAATAAAAATAAAAATAAACAAAACAACAGCAAAAGCAATAGGGAAGGCTGCTAAGATGGCTCAGCTAAAGAAGTCTGCCACCTCGGCCTGATGACTTTATTTGCTCCCCCAGACCTACATTGGCTAGAGGTGAGAACTGACTTCTGAAAACTGCCACATGTGTTATGTGTGGGAAGCCTGAAAAAGCAATAGCCAACAAGGGAAATGAGGAAAGTATATGATGGTGCAATTCTAAAAGACAAATAGTCTAGGGAAAAGCAAGGGGATGGTGGGTAACAAAGTAGAGAAAGGAGGATAAGAGTAGGTGGGTAGAAAGGGGCTGGAGAGATGGGTTAGTGGTTAAAAGCACTGGCTGCTCTTCTAAAGGACCCAGGTTCAATTCCTAGCACCCACATGGCAGCTCACAACTGTCCCTTAACTCCAGTTCCAGGGGTTTCAGAAATAAATGCAGGCAAAATATCCATACACGTAAAACAAAACAAAAGTAACTTAAAAATGAGTGGGTAGAAAGGAGGATGGGCATGACCAAAACATGATTATATCCATGCATGGAAATACCACAATGAAGCCCACTAATCAGCATAATTACCATGCACTAGTAGTTATAAAACAAATGTCTAATGTACACTTCACTGTATTTTGGCCTATCAGACTCACAAACACTAAAAATGATATTAACAGTCAGTGGAGTGAGAGCTGTGTGAGGGTGTGCACTTCGTAATTCTAGCGCTCCAGCGGCTGCGGCAGGAGTGTGAGACCGTCTGGGAAGCCGAGAGAAACAGTGGACCGAGAATACAGAACCGGCCGGAAAAATTGTCCTTCTCCAAAGAGCTCACAGGAGAGAGAGAGAGAGAGAGAGAGAGAGAGAGAGAGAGAGAGAGCGCGAGCGAGAGCGCAGCACAGCAGGAGAAGCTGAGCCACCAGCAGTTGGATTTTCTTTTACTCTAGCCCCACTTTGGGACACAGAAATGTTGCTGCTGCTTATTTTCTACTCTTTTGGCTCTGGGGCCCCACCACCCAGCTCCCAAATAAATCACACAGAGTCTTATTCTTTCCTATGAATGCCTGGCTTTAGCTTGGCTTGTTTCTTGCCAGCTTTTCTTAAATTATCCCATCTACCTTTTGCCTCTGGCTTTCCCTTTTCTTACTTCTGCAATCTCACTTTCACTCTGACGCGGTGCCTGGCTGGATGACTGGCCCCTTCTTCTCTTGCTCCTTGATCTCTCTTCTATTCTCTCTGCCTGCCAGCTCCGCCTAGGCTTTCTCCTGCCTCGTATTGCCCATTCAGCTCTTCATTAGACCATCCAGTGTTTTAGACAGGCACAGTAACAGAGCTTCATAGAGTTAAATAAATGCAACATAAAGGAATGCAACACAGCGGGAAAACAATCTTTGCATTGTTAAACAAATGTTCCAGAGCATAAACAAATGTAACACACCTTAAAATAATATTCTTCAACAGCCAGGGTTCTTTAGAGGAATAGAACTTATAGAATGAAAAAAATATATATTTGGGATTAATTGGGATGGCTTATAGGCTGTGGTCCAGCTAACTCAGCAAAGGCTGCCTACCAACAAAGGATCAGAGTCCAGCTGTTCAGTCTGCGAGGCTGGGTGTCTCGGCCCGTCTTCGCTATACACCTGAATCCCGAAGAAGCAGACACCACTGCCAGGAAGGGGTGGACTTGCCAGTGAGTGCAAGCAGGCGAAGAGAGCAAACCTCCTGCTTCCATGCCCTTCATAGGGGCTGCAGCAGAAAGTGAAGCCCAGATTAAAGGTGGACCTTCTCGCCTCAAAAGATCCTGATTAAAAGTGGGTCTCCCACATCAGATGATTTAGTTAAGAAAAAACTTACTTCATCTATAACGGCATCAGGAACTTGAAGAACTGGAGAGATGGCTCAGCACTTAAAGCACTGGTTTAGCTCAGTACCCAGTGCCTACGTGCAGACTCACAACCACCTGTAACTCCAGTTCCACAGGCTCTGACACCCTCTTCTGGCTTCCCTGGGCACAAGGCACATATATGGTGCACATACATACATAGAGGCAAAACTTATACACACACACAATAGTAAATCTTTGAAAATAACATTGAAACATTATTATTATTTGAAGAGTCACAATAGGGATTTAAGATCAATAACACATGAAAAAAATTACTTTAGCCAATTAGATATAAGTAACCAAGATAAACTGCTTTACCAAAATCTAACATTTAACTTAGTACAAATCCAAGTATAGTACAGGAATACATAAAGATTAATTATATGAAAAAAATTAGATCCAGGAGGTAGTAACACATTTTTAATCTCAGCACTTGGGAGGCAGAGGCAGGAGGATCTCTGTGAGTTCCACGCCAGCCTAGGCACAGCACAGGAAGAAAGACCTTAGTTTTTACAACTATTATTATTATTGGAGATGTATTTTACTTTTACCCATGTGTATGTAAAACGTTGCGGGTATGTTTGGAGACCAGAAGTGTTAGATTCTCTGGAACTGGAGTTACAGTTGTGAATGTCCTGTTCTGGGTGTTGGGAATTGAACTAAGACCCTTCTGGAGGAGTAATGCCCACTTTATTAGCCACTGAGCCATCTCTCCAGCCCTCTTTTATTACTAGCCGTAGTATTAGGAGATTTTTACATTTTTGATAGTTTCTACTTGTGATCAGATCCCCACTCCTTACCTTCTTGTATCCGTTCCTATTCCTGGTGGCCTCCTTCTTCCGTATCAGCCCCTCTCCTGTTTGTAGGTCTTGTATGAGTCTTTTGCAGGCCTTAGGTAGGTGGTCATAATTGCAATGGCACGTCCTACCAAGAAGAGGCATTTTACAGTCTTCCCACCTCATCTTTCACGATGTCTCCGGGACCCCAAGGTGGGTGACACAGATGCCCATTTACAGCTGTGCCCTCAGCTGTCTCCTATTTCCCCAGAACTTTGTCAGCTTATGACTCCATGTTTTGATTGTGACCCACTGTCAAATGAAGCACCCCGAACTAAGGATGAGAGCTGCTCTCGTCTAAGAATATAAACACAAGCATGTAGAAAGTAGTTTAACCACATGCCTATTTAACTATGTTCTTCCTAGCCTTCAGCTTTTGGCCAGGTTTATGGTACCAGGTGTCAGACCTAATCAGGAAGTGGTCAGTTACCCCTAGAATGCCATTATTGCAAAAGTGAGCACATCTTGTCTGGCAGATTGGTATTCTAAGTACTCAGGTGAGACCCTTGGTTTTTTCATTTGTTTGTTTTGCTTTGGTGGGGTTTTTTGTTTGTTTGTTTGTTTGTTTTTTGTTTTGTTTTGTTTTGGTTTTGGTTTTTGGAGATAGGATTTCTCTGTATAGTCCTAGCTGTCCTGGAATTAACTCTGTAGACCAAGCTGGCCTACCTCTGCCTCCCAAGTACTGGCATTAAAGTCATGTGCCACCACTGCCAGGCCCAAGATTCTGTCTTCAAAAAATAAAAACAAACCAAAAAATAAGGGAGGAAGGGTGAAAGAAATGGGAGGGAGCTCTGACGGTCCTCAGAGTGAACCTTGCAAGGACAACATCTAGCCACAGACTCCACAACTTAAAGAGGGATGTGGAGAAAGTGGAAGGGATTCAACAGGGAGTCACAGAGATGATTAAAGGGTTAGGAAAATAGGAGCTAGAGATTATTTAGCCCAAGTTAGAAGACTGCTAGGTTTCTTAATAACAGTATTTGAGCATAGGAAGGGCTGCTACATGCAGGATGAAGAACAGCTGCTTTTCTTCAAGACAGAATGGAAGACATGAACTCAGAAACATGGAAGGCCCAACTCAGATATAAAAGGGACTTTTGAAAATGATTATCAGATTCGGGATTACCTCAGGTCTCCACAGTCTCATGTGTCAGAGTTCTCTACTGATGGGGTAAGGTGGTGTCTCAATTGAACAGTGGCTGCCAAGCATGCACAAGGCCCTGTGATTAAGTTCTAGTATTTCAAAAAGAATTCAGTTCTCAGCCTCTTACCTCTTGGTGTGTTTTCCTTCATTTCTTTCATCTACTCTGATTTAATGACTTGCTATAAATTGGTAATTTCCAAACATATGTTGAAAAATCTCCAGTGCAGACTATCTTCTAAATGCCTGCTGCACATGCGGTTTATGTTTCTTACCTGCTCTACTGTGACGTCATCACAGGTGACCCTGTTCTACTGTGACGCCGTTATAGGTGACCCTGCTCTACAGTGACGTCATCACAGGCGGCCCTGCTCTACTGTGATGACATCACAGGTGCCCCTGCTCTACTGTGATGAAAACACAAGTGACCCTGTTCTAATGTGACGCCATCACAGGCGACCCTGTTCTGCTGTGACGTCATCACGGGTGACCCTGCTCTGCTGTGACGTCATCACGGGTGACCCTGTTCTACTTTGACGTCATCATAGAACCCTGTTCTACTGTTATGCTATCAAAGGTGACATGTCTGTTATGACAGTAACCATAGATTTTCTGATTGGAGTCTAGATCTACTCCTGTACAAGAGGAATCCATACCTGGTACTGTAAAACCAGTCAAAAGTCTGTGACTGGGAGGCCATTGGCCTACTGTCACTATTTTACTAGACAGACATGGTATCGAATGACCCCATACACTAACGATGCTCTCAGCCTTGACTAAAGAAACATATCTGGAGTTGGCAAAGAGGAATGCAGAGACTCTTAACTAGTCAAAGTGCTGGGAATAAGTGACTTTTGGTGCTTATCCTGGAAGAGAACATCACTACCACCCTCAACTCAATACAGAACCCAGGAAGTACCACAGAAGAAATGGGAGAAGAAATTTAAAACTGTTGTGAAAGACTGTTCTTTGGAGGTGACGCGGTCCTTGCCTCATGAACTCAGAGCACCAGAAGGTACCCACACAAGACTAAGCCCAATAACAATAATCACCCCGTCCCCTGAGACTGGGTTTCTCTGTGTAACATTGGAGCCTGTCCTGGAACTCGCTCTGTAGACCAGGTTGGTTCACACACACATTGCCTGCCTCTGCCTCCCAAGTGCTGGGATTAAAGGTATGTGCCACCATCACCCGGTCCTAGAGAAATAATCTTGATGACCCCAAAGAATTTTATTCCATTATTCTTTCTAGTGATTCGATTCTATTATTCTACCCTACCCTACCCTATTCTCACTTCCTATTCTCTAAAAGTTCTCTATTCTTTTCCTTCTCTTTTAAAATTTTTATTTTTATTTTATGTCCATTGGTGTTTTGCCTGCATGCATGTCTGTGTGAGGCTGTCAGATCCCCTGGAACTGGAGTAACAGACAGTTGCAAGCCGCCATGTAATACTGGAAAATTGAACCTAGGTCCTCTGGAGAAACAGCCAATGTTCTTAACCACTGAACCATCTCTCTTTTCCCTCCTGACCCCTGTCGCCTTTTTACATTTTCTCTGATGATTGTCAATACATATTAGACTGTGATTTTTTGGAAGCAGAGACTGTATTATCTTTTTACTACTTTGATAATTTTAATTGACACCCAACAATTATAAAATCTCAGGGGCACAGTGTGACATTTCACAACGTATGCACAAGACCACATGTCAGAGCAGGGTAGCTGCCCCACCTCTCATCTGGATAGCATCTATTCCGGCTCATATTGAGTGCTTTACCCACACGATTTCGCTAAATCTTCACAACGAACTCAGGAGGCCTCTCTTACCCTATTATTAGTTCCATTTTATAGATAAAGAAACCAGGATCCATCTAGAGATATTAAGGAACTTGTCCCTGGACATCAAACTGTGTGGGTGTGACTTGGGTCTATCACCTGCAGGTGACTTTGTAGATGTTAATGCATCTAAAGGGATCTAAAGGGACATTGAACACTTGAGAAGAATGAACTCTCCGAATCACGACTCCACCATGTGTCTTTGGAGCAAACCTGAAGGGCATCATACAGGGAGAGTCAATAATAGAATCCCGGGGCTGTGGGGTCAGGTGACTTAAACAAGGGTGGCAAGAAGCTCAGACCTGAATTGTACCTGCTCAGTGAGCCCAAGTGTTTCGTGGGCCTTGCAGAACATACCTCTGGCTCTGACTGACTGGGAAAACAGAGCTGGGTCAAGAAATTTAGTAAGCCAAGGTAAAAATTCGTTTCAGGAGCAGGAAAACAACAGGCCTACCTCATTTCAGTTGGCATCCCTGTACCCTCAGACAGTAAGGAGTATGTCTACAGTATGCTGTGGAAGACTGGCTTGGTGTCGGCGCGTCGACTGCCCAGAGCAGGTCGTCCAAAGGGGCTTGTGTTTTCTTCTCCTTCCATTACCTGGCCCAGCCAGATGCATGGCTGTCTAGTTTGGCTTTTGTTTTCCTTTGTAGAAAGAGTTTCACTGTGCAGGCCATGCTAGTGTCGAACTTGAGATTCTCCTGCCTCCGTCTCCTGAGTGCTGAGACTCCAGTAAGTGTGCCCCACTATGCAAGTCTGCAAGTCTTGCTGGGGCGGGAAGGTCAAGTGTTGGAGGGGAACCTTATGTGGGCCCATCACGAAGAGCTCTACCTGCATTTATGAGAAGTTGGAATAATGACTATAGGTATTACTGTTCTTCATTTATCATTATGCATTAAATTGTTAAGTTATACTTAATTAGCTTACAAAATTGAAGATTTTCATATGGCTTTTGCATATAGCCCTTCTTCCCCTTGAGACAGGATCATAGGTGGACTTGAGCTCTCTGTGGCCTCTACCTCCTAAATGTGCCACAGTAAGAACTTTTAAAGTATGACTGCTGTCTTACGAGACTATGGCTGTCTAGCTACAAAGGATTTGCCTACTGTGAGTCACTAGGTTAAATATGCAATACCACAGACACAAAATAAAAAGAGAAAAGAGAAATAAGGCAGGGACTAGGGAATTCTCAGTGTCCCCATGAGGAGGTAATCTACTGAGTACCATAGAGTCCCTAGCTTCTTGGGCAGGACTGGAAGAGGTGGGATTAGCTGCTGTATCTTCCAGATCTGCAGATCAGGCACGGCCCTCTAACTGGGCCCAATGATTCAATACGAAACATGCCAGATTCATGTACACCATATCAAACTAAGCATGTTAGAAGAAACAGTTGCTTTGCTACTCTTCAAATCAACAAACGTGGCAAGGCAATATACTGTTTCCAAGGGAAATTTCTTCTTGGCAGGTGACCTTTGTCAAGGCCAAGTTAAAAATGGAATTGATTGATGACCATATAATTAATATGAAGGAAACAGATATGCGTAAGGGCTGATGAAGTCTGTCCTGGGTTTAAAAACCTTTCAGTTTCCTCATTTTATCTTACCAGGATAAATCAAAGCCTGTATTGCTCTGTTTTGGCCTGGAACCAGGGCTTCCTGCATTTAAGGCAAGCTTTCCGTCACTGAAGTCCAGTCTCAAGGGCCTTGTTAGTTTCTCATCCTGATCCCTCACCTCAAGTCTTTCTCCTACACTCCAAACACACCGACCACTATAACATTTGCTTATGTTTGAAGTAGCTTGTATTTTAACAAATTTCATTTGTATCTAAAAACCCAGTTTCAAGACTTTTTTTTTTGATTTTTCGAGACAGCATTTTTCTGTAGCTTTGGAGCCTGTCCTGGAACTAGCTCTTGTAGATCAGGCTGGTCTCGGACTCACAGAGATCATCCACCTGCCTCAGCCTCCTGAGTGCTGGGATTAAAGGCGTGCGCCACCACTGCCTGGCTCAAGACTTTCTTTCTGACCTGGGTACAGTAACTCATGGCTGCAATCCCAGAATTTAGGAGGCTGAGGCAGAAGCACTGCTCCGAGTTCAGGCTTGCTACATAGTAAGTCTGGTTGACCTGAGTTACAGAGGGAGACCCAGTCTCAAAAAAGAAGAAAAAAGGAATATTTCATTTTCAAGCTACCAGCACAGTCCATGTTTCCATAGCAACTTATATATAAGTTTATTAACATTTAACTTTTTAATTATTTTTTTCTGCTGCTGGAGATGGGAGCCAGAATCTCAAGTATAGACAAGCACTTTTATCAGTGAGCTAGCTCCTTGTTGCTACTGATTTGGATATTCTCAATCATCAATCATTATTTATTAAATCAGTCCTTTAGAAAACTACACCACCATTTATTTCTTGTGGGAAGGAGCACGCACATGTAGAGACGACTGCTTCCACCATGGGATTCTGTGGGCGGAATTCAGGTCATCAGCCTACTGTAGCAAGTACCTTTGTGGGCAGAGTCATCTCAACATCCCTGTCTAACTCTAATTTAGACAACAGCTCAGAAAAGCCTTGAAGTGACTGATGCCCACGCACACTACACTCTGTGGTAAACTGGCTATGTCCACTCCTCATGAAGTCCAGGACATTTTGTTGTATAAAACATTTTCTTTAACTGGACAGAGTGACACATGCATTTAATCCCAGCATTTAGGTGGCACAGGCAGAGAGATACCAGGAGTTTGAGGTTAGCCTGGTCTATATAGCAAAAACAAACAAACAAACAAACCAAAACAAGAACAACTTAGCTCCTAGGCCAGTGTTCTGTCAGGGTTTGGAATTTGTGAGTTTACAAAAAGAAAAATAAATAAGCAGAGGACAGTGGTGTGCCCACTGAAAAGAACCAAGTTAACCCCCACCCCCAGGCAACCAATCTGTGAGTCAAACAGTATCTGTGAAGAAATCTTAAGGTTCAGCCACCCAATTAATAGAAATCAATAAAGAGGTCAAACATGGTGGGATTATTCCTGTAATCCTAGCAGTTGGTAGGCTGTGGCAAGAGGATCAGGAGTTTGAGGCAGCTTCAGATACATGATGAGTTTTTGTCTTAAAACAAACAGTAATAATGATCATTGTTTTCACTAAAAAAATAATTATCTAACCTGTCTGTGAAGAGATATTATGACCACAGCACCTCTTATAAAAAGAAACCATTTCATTGGGGCTGGTTTACAGTTTCAGAGTTAATTAAGTCTATTATCATCATGGCAGAGAGCATAGTAGCATGCAGGCAGACATGGTGTTGAAAGGTAGCTGAGAGTTCTACATCTGGACCCATAGGCAATAGGAAGAGAAAGCAACACTGGGCTTGGCTTGGACTTTTGAAAACTCAAAGCCCACCCCTAGTGACACACCCACTCCAACAAGGCCACACCCCCAATCCTTCTCAAGAAGGAAGGTATTGCTCTAGCTGAGAATACGGCTCTACAGCTGAGGCACACCTTCAGTGTCTGATCCTCCTGCCTATGCCTTCTAACAGGTGAATTATACAAGTGTCCCAGCTTTTCTGGCTCTAACTCAATATTTTTGAAAGAATAACTTTCCTTAGATGAAAAAAACAATAGAAAGCCAGGTGGTGGTGGTGGCACACGCCTTTAATCCCAGCACTTGGGAGCCAGAGGCAAGGAAGATCTCTGTGAGTTCCAGACCAATGTGGTCTACAGAGTGAGTTCCAGAACTGTAACACAGAGAAACCCTGTCTTGAAAAACCAGAAAGAGAGAGAAACACAAAAAGAGTTTATTGAAGTGGCTTGTGGGGTTGTGGTGAGGAAATGCTGGGGACCAGCCTCAACAAAAATACCTCTTGCTACTAGAGGTGTGGGGATTTAGAACATAGTAAAGAGTATGAAGACAACACAGATGAAAATAATAAAATGGAGAAACACAGAATAGTATGGGATGGAGTTCCAGCGAGTACTGAAATTTTGCCCGCATTTAATTTCCAGTTGATTCAAATACCACTGACCCCAGAAGGTAGGAGTGAGACAAAAAAACTTCATTAACATGGTACAAGAAAATCTCCTAAAGGAACTGGACCCTTAGTCAAATCTTTAGACTTCTGTTTGAGGTAGAAACACGTCTACTTCTCTATTCCTGAAATACAAGGTCTGGCTGTTAGCCACTCCTACTGACAATGACCTTGAGAGAGCAGAACTCTCTGATTTACACCTGGGAGGGACCTTTGGTTTGAGCAGCACAAAAACCTTGAAGGAACTAGAGGTAAGTTCCAACTCTCTGACCTTTGGCCAACATGGGAATAGGCTCACATTTTTGGGCCTCCACATGGAAAGACATGGTAGGCATTTCTCAAAGCTTATTTGTGGCTGACTTTGGACAGGCTGGGCCCAGCACCTTGTTTAGTTAAATCATCCCCATCTTCCTGGAAGAGGACCCATGCCAATTTTGCAGAAGCCTGGGCCACTGTTTCTGGAACCTAAAGAGTCAAAGTGCTGAGGGCAAATGCCCTCTACCAAGGCGCTGCTGGACAGTTGCAGCCTGGCCCAGCAGCTGCTACGGCAGGGCTAGGGGGGTCATCCCTATCAGGCCTGTGGGGACAGCACGAAACACCACCTCCAGAGGTTTTACACAGCTTAGATGAAATTAGGGGACAAATTGCTTGGGATTGCCCCATTCTTCAGGGGTTCCCCTAGTAAGCATCAGGGGGAATTCCCTTCAATATGGCAGAACCCTAATAGTATGGGGGCTACAGGGGAGAACAGGTCCCTGCCTGTTAGTGGGAGACTGGAAGGGGTGGGGGAATTCCTAAAAACTCCATTTACAGAGGAGATCCCCTTGTGATTCAAAGTTCCCTTGGCACAGGGTATTTGAAGGTACAGATCTGTTTCTCATCTCCTTTAGGTTTTAGAGGCAGACCACTAAAAAGAGGACGCACACACAGCTACTCTCTGGCTATAAACCAGTTCAACAGTAGAATTTAAATCACTTACATGAATGTAGCATCATTCAACCATTCATCATCTTTCTCTTGAGACAGGAGCTCCTGAATGCCAGGCTGGCCTCAGACTTTATGCGCTAAGGATGACCTTTAGCTTGTGGCTCTCTTCCTCTACTTATATCACAGGGATGTGCCACCATGCCTGTGTATGAGACATGAGATCCTGGGGATCTAACCACGGACATGGGCCGTGCTAGATGACGGCGTACTCAGACCCGAGTCCCACAGCATCCACACTTTCACAAAGTGTTTGTGTATGTGTTTGTGTGTGCCAGGGGCAGGCTGCGTATGGAGTAGGAAGAGGAGGTAGTTGTGAGGTAGTTGGTTGTGAGCTTCTCCCCCCCCCACCATTCATCTGAATTTGCTCCTCTTCAATTTCCAGAAAGAACACAATGTGAAAACGATTTTATTTAAATTAAATATTTGATCATTAATTTATTTTTTGAGACAAGGTCTCGTGTAGCCCAGGCCGGCCTCAGCTTCCTGGGTTCTGAGACTGCAGTGCTGGCCCACCATGTCTGACAACAGTGGAGACACAATAACAAGGGGGCACATGTGAGGGGAGGCGCTCTGTAAGCACCACCAGGATCCCAACTTTTTGATTGCCTATCACTACAAGAAAGCAAATAATGCCATAACTTGATAAAGTAATTATATATTAGCAAGGGATACAAGATTGAGATGAAGTAGGATTTATTAGTCTTGGAATAAAACAGACATACAGACGACATTTCTAAACATCTTAATCTGAAAACTAATTTCCAAGTGGAAGAGGCTGTGTGGTTAAAATATAATTATGTACTTATTTGTAAAATGCCTAGAATTTTAAAAAATGCATGGAAAACCAAGCATGTTGTTACATTTTCCTATACTGCAGCAGCTACAGCAGGTAAATTTCTCTTCGCATTCCAAGGTAAAGGTAGGTGCAGGCCACAGCCCTGTTAACATCGACAATCAGAACTCACCAGCCGTCTCGGGATAAGGGGCTCCAGCATGGTGACCACTGAGTCTATTTCGGTGAGGAGAAGCTCATCGCTGGGAAGATAATCCAAGCTCCATGGCTCTCTGTGCAACTGCAGTCCTGCCAGTCTTCATGACAGGTAAGAGACCAACTCGGGCAAATAAACACAAAATCACATTGGAATTAACCAATTTCATTTCACATACAAAACAGCAGTACATCGGGTCCTAAAATTAAGGTGAGTTAAGTCAAAGTGGCTTTGAAAAGTCAACATCAACACACAAATCTCAATATTCACGCTTGTGTTTAGTTAAGGCAATTGGACATAGTGGCTCTCACCTTGAATTCCAGCACTTAAGTGAGGCAGGATTGCCTGAGTTAGAAGGCAGTCTGAGCTACACACTGAGTTCTAGGACAGCCAGAGGTATGAAGTGAGACCTATAAACAAAATAACCCCAAAACTCCACCTACATAGCTGGGCATGGAGGTCCAGGCATAACCCCAGTCAAGGCCAGCCAGGCTGCAGAGAAAGCCGGCTCACAAACACAAAACAAAAACCCCTACTGGCAAACAGTAATTTATAACACTTTGGAGAATTGTAACACATAGCTTTAAACTAAAAAAAAAATGCATTTGTGTATCGCCTGCATGTATGTCTGTGCACCATGGGCTGCCTGGTGCCTGGGGACAGATGAGCTGTCACATCCCCAGTAGCTGGAGCTCCAGGGAACCAGCCAGTTCCTCCGGAAGAACAGCCGTCTATCCAGGTTCCAGTATCTTTAAAACTGTAAAGTGGAGGGATCCTTTGCTGGCTCCTCTCTCCACCCCAGCCCAGCCCAACCCACCCAAAAGGGAAAAGGGGCTCGAGGCAGGGGAATCTCTGTGGGTTGGAGGCCACCCTGGTCTAGTGACAGCGAGAGTCTAGAAACCCTGTCTTTAAATTTAAAAAAAAAACAAAAAAGGAAAAGAAAAAGGAAATAAAAGCCTGAAATAAGTTTGAACAAAAGAATTTTAAGATTAATCTTGTGTGGGTGGTGTACACCCTCAATTCCAGCACTAGGGATACTGAGGCAGGAGAACTGCTGTGAGTTCGAGATCAGCCTGGGCTAGATAGCAGAGCCCTGTTTCTTTTATTTTGAGACGAGGTCTCAGTGTGTATCCCTGGCTAACCTGAAACTGGGAGATGCGCCTGCCTCCTGGAAGATCGTGTTTCAAAAAAAAAAAAAAAACCCCAATTAAAAAAAAACAAATAAGTAAATAAAAACAGGTATCACTGTGTAAATTAGTAAAAGTCTAAACGTGTTAAAGGTTTCTAAATAGAGCATAATTAAAAGGAAGGTAAGTTTAAGGGCTAACTGGCAAGCCTCCTCCTGAAAAACTCAACTAACATAAGTACGGGAGGTTCGTTTGCAGGTTCGACCGTCCTAATCGCTCTAAACTCCACACGCGAAGCCAACAGCGTCTTCTCAAAAGTCCTGAAAATTCATTCTCATCTGCACAGGCTGTCTCCGGAGCGGCTCTCTCCTTGCAGCCGCACGCAGCGCCCGCAGCAGCTGACTCCTCCCCGCTCGTGGGGAAAACCCTGCCTAATATTTATAACGCTATGACATACTGTAATACTCACAAGGTGGTTGTAGAAGTATAAACACGACTGGAGTCATCTGATTGGCTGCTGGTGATGTAACACCCATGTCAATACTTCCCAGTGAACGCACGTGTTCGACCTTTTATTTAAATTTCCATTTCATCACAGCAATAAGACACTCGGGGCGGTGCATTTTCTGCGAAACGATCACCGCCCGGGGCCAGAGGTGCTGCCCGGCGCACACAGGGCGCCCGAGGAGGTGTCCTCGCGAGGAAGGCACCGCCTGGTCCAGTCTTTTGTGAAGGAACAAAATAAGTTCACTTCCTCGGGCACGGCCACCCACCCCTCAGCGGCTGCCACGGCTGCCGCGCACTGCCAGCGCAGTGCCTCCTGGAGTCCCAGGTGAAGTCGTGGCGAGAGCCGGGCACGGTGCGCCGGGGCGCGCGGCGCCGAGGCGGTCCCTGACACCCGCCAGCTGTTTGTCCTGGCCGAGCCGGC